AGGCCACATTTGAATTCAGGTCCTCCTGACTCCAGGGCTAGTGCTGTATCCACTGCACCACCTAGCTGCCCCCATCACTAAATTTTTTGACAGGGTACCTAGACTAATTGATCAAGAAATGACAAAGATTGGGGCAGCTAGGTGGCACGATGGATAGAGCACCAGTCCTGAAGTCAGGAGAACCTGAGTTCAAATCCAACCTGAGACCAAACACTTGACACTTACTTACTGTGTGACCCTGGGCAAGTCACTTAACCCCAATTGCCTAAAAAAAAAAAAAAGAAATGACAAAGATACAGTTTAAGAAGATTCTGGCAAAGCATTTGACACAGTCTCCCTTGCTGTGTATATGGAAAATATGGAGACATTTGGGTTAGATAATAGTAAATAGTATTGTGAATTTTTTGGGATTGGTTGAATGATTAGACCCAAAGAGTGGTTAGTAATGGCTTTAGGTCAGTTAGGAAGGAAGTGTCAAATAAAGTGATCCAGGGAGCTATGCTTGGTTGGCCCTGTGCTGTTTAAAATGTTGATGGATGACCTGGGATAAAGGCATAGATAATAGGCTTATCTAGCTTAGAAATGTCACAAAGCTTGGGGAAGAGAGTTTGGAGAAAGGATGGATAAGTAATAGATTAGATGACAGAATTAGGATCAAAAAAAAAAATCTAGAACATTGGGCTAGACCTAATAAGATGAAATTTAACTGGGGGACAAATGTAAAGTTTTACATTCAGGTTTAAAATAATCTTCACAAATATAAGGTCAAGGAAGGAGACCTGGCTAGATATTTTATCTGAAAAAGATCTGGGTTTTTATTTTCAATTTTTTTCATCTAGATAGCAAACTTAAGATGACTTATTGTGTAGTATAATGGCCCCAAAACCCTGATATCACTTTTGACTTCATCAAGAGAAGGAATGGTGTTCAGACCTAGGGAAGAAAATACTCTCCCATATATGTTCTGTCTGGGTGCCATATTTTAGGAAGGACATTGGTAAGCCAGAGAGCACCTAGTCTAGGGTGACAAGAATGGTGAAGGGCCTCAAGATCATGGCATCTGAGGTCTGGTTGAAGGAACTGGGGATGGTTAGCCTAGAGAAGAGAAGATATTCAGTGCATGATGGCCATCTTTTAGCATTTGAAAGGCTTTTACATGAAAGAAGATTCAATTTGTTCTGCTTGGCCCCAGATCACTTCGCAGTGTGATGCAGTGAACAGAACACTGAACTTGGTACTGATGCGGTTTGGGGTGCTAGAAATCCTGAAATGCAAAGGTACAGGGTGGGTCAGCCTTGAAAGAATTTGAGCCTTCTTTCAAACCAAGTAGCGAGTTTGTTTTGACACCAGCTGGGTGGGTTAATTTGTGGTATTTGTGATGCCAATACAAGAGGACCAGATTCTAAGAATCTGTACATTTGATGAGGATGGGACTGATATTTTTATACAGAAAAAGACTGTGGGAAGATCTGGATGGGTTGAGGAGTGTCAAGTAAGCTAATTAAGCAATCAGAGTGTGCTGAGGTGGGTCAGATGCCTTGGGTGGAGGCACCAGTGATCTGGGCTACTGAAATGTATGGGAAAATTCAGGGACTGGGTTGCTTTCAAAGACATTGTCTTTTCCTTTTAGGGGTTCAGATCCCATCCCCATCAGTACCGTAGGACCTGGGTCCCAATTCTGGCTCTACCACTTACTATTTATGTGACCTTGAACAGTAAGATCTCATAGATATAATCTAGTCTGACTTTCTCATTTTATGGATGTAAAAACTGAGACCCAGAGATATTGAATGACTTGCTCAAAATTTTAAAGAGCTTTATAAATATGTTGTTGTTATCTATATCCTCCTTAACACTCAACAAATAGTAAGTAGCAAATCTCAGATTTGAACTCAGATACTCAATCCCCAACACAGCATTCTTTTTACTATATTTTCACCTCTGAGATTCTTTCTAACTGTAAGATTATGTGATTTAAATAAAAGAATTCAGGAGAATGAGTTGAGTAGAATTTCAGTGAAGAGGAAAATAGTTCTAGGTAAATATACATGGGGGGGTAATTATGTAGAGGCTGTTAGCTGTCTTTAACCAATATAGAATACATAGAAATGGATTCCATGAGCTTATGGGAAGGATGGGGTGGAATTTTAGGTTACACCTAAGAAAGCACGTTCACTCCCTGGAAGATTCTTAAATATTGGAATGTGTTGCCAAAGAGGATGATTAATTTTCTTTCACTGGTGGTGGTCAAAAAACAGAATAAGCACATCTTCAGAGGGATTTAATGAGGTCCTACTTGGATCTCTGGAGATAGACTAGGTGATTTCTGAAGTAGATCCCATCCTGAAAGTAAACTCCTTGGCACTGCCACAGAATGGAAGTGTCCAAGAAATGCTGGGTCAGTATGGTGCATGTACTATAGGTCTAGTCAGTTCATTCATGGGAGGTAGGAGATTCCCCTAGGACAGCTGTCTTACCCAGGACTTTCAAGTTGACACGGTTCCATTGGTATCGCCCTGAATTCTTCACTTTGCAGATGTATTGGCCCTCATCGCTAGGCTTCAGGGGCTCAATCTGCAGGGAGGCATCTCCTGCCAGGAAGTTGGAAGCAAAGGCTACACGTCCCTTCTGCTCCTCAGTCAAATTATTATAGACCTGGCGGCTGGAATAGGTGATCACCTGTAGAATGGATAGGGGCAGGGTTAAATGGTGTGGCCTTCAACCATTCTTACATTGTTAAGCCTGAAAGAGGATCACAGATACTGACATCAGGCACAAAAGTATAGACACCAATTTTTGCCCCTCCCCTACCTTGGATTGGAAGAATCTAGCTAAAGTACCAGTACACTCTGTACTCCCTTATCTTCCTGGCAAAATTTCTCTTCTACTTCAACCCATACCTCTCTCCCACAGATCAGAACCTCTTTGGCCAGACATGCCCAGGCACCAGAATGCAGGTCCCTTTATACTCTAGTGACTTTTTTAGTCTCCATCTCTGCCATGACCCTGCTAGACTGATTTCTTAGTATCGCTGCCAGAAAGCATTCTGGGACAGTTGTCTGATGGCTCATGTCTCATTCTGCCATTCACCAGAGGTCTGTTGTCCAAATACAGAGCAGAAAAGAGAAATTAAGTTTAGTTTATATGCAATTTTTGACATGTATAACTGGAGGATTTATAAGGTGGGTCATGTAGCAGGAATGAGGACCAACAGATGCACAGCTAGAGGTCTATACTGATACTCCCAAGATAACAAAAAAAGCACGAGAGGAAATCTTTCATTAGGTTGGGTGGCTATGGAAGAAAGAAGAATTGCATGGAAGGAGATAAACTTCAGTGGAATGAGTAACCAAAATGATGAAACCACAGACCCAGCCAAGTATCAAAGTCAATAATTTATCCAATCTCCAAACACTTTCCCATCTGTTATCACGTTTAGTACCACAATAGCCTAGAGAGCAAGAGATGGATTATAGTTAACTCTTGGTTATTTGTGCCAATAAATGGGAACATTTGCATGGATAATTCAAGGAAATGGAAATTTTCAAGGTTTTTATACGTATCTCTAGAATGTATTATACTTACCATTTCAACTATTTTTAGTCCTCTTACCTTATACCAACTAAGAAAAAACCCCCAAACTTCCAACCTTGTCATCCTCAGAAACCTTTTGTCTTTCCTTCACTGCTAAACTTCTAGAAAGAGTAGTTTGCTTTCATTACTCCCCTTTCTTCATCACCCACACACTCCTCAACCTCACTACTTGACTAAAACTGCTCTCCTCAAGGTGACTGGTAACCTGTGAATTGCCAAATACTATGGCCTTTCTCACTCTATTGCCCTTGACCTTTCTGCTACAGTGGATCAGACTCAGGACTTGGGAGTCAGGGATTTAAATTGTACCTCAGATATTTACTAGCTATGTGATCATGGGCAAGGTATTTCTTCTTTCAGATCATCAGTTTCCTTATCTGTTATTCTAGGAAGGCACAGACTGCATGAATCTTAAAGAGCTTTATAAATATGTTGTTGTTATCTATATCCTCTTTAACACACAACAAGCACTTAATAATCACTTAGTAGGTACCAGGCACTGGTAATAGGTACTGGAGATTAAAAACTAAACAGTCCCTATTCTCTATTTGTTTACATTTTACTGGGTTGCCGGGGGTGGGGTGGGGGGGAGGACAGCATAAACACAGATAATTCAATGAAAAATACAAAGTACTTTCTGGATGGGAACAGAGTACGTGGGGGAGGAGAGGAGAGAGAGACACTAGCAACTTTGTAGGGATCAGGATAGGACTGGTTGGGGTAGTGATGCTTGATCTGAGCCTTGAAGGAAATAGTTCTACCAGGCAAAGGTGAGGAGTGCGGAGAGCATTCCAGGCAAAGAGAACAGATGGCTTGTGCAGAGATGGAGCTGGAAGAAGGAATATCATGTCCAGGGAACTAGGCCAGTTTGGCTGGTACATGGTGTATATGGATGAGAGTGCTGTGCAGTAACAGCGGATATTCTCTATGTCCCTGGTTTCGGTGACAATGCTCTCCCCTTATTCTACTCCTTTTAACTGCTTCTTTTGCTCCTTAGCTTTTTCAACCTTCTCATCCTGTCCCCTAAGTGTGGGTGTCCCCTTTGGATTTCTTTTCTCTTCTTCTAAGGGAGTAAGTACAGTGTAGTGCAAAGTCAATATGTAGTGGAAAAAGTATTGGAGAAACCTAGGTTTGAATTTCTGCTCTGACATTTAATAGCTATGTGACACTGGTCAAGTCTCTTAACCTCTCTGAGTGAGACTCATCTGTAGATATCGTATTGTGTCTACCTCATGGACTTGTGAGAATCAAAAGAAATACTGCACGCAACATACTTTCTAAACTTTAATCTCATCAATTAGGAATCATCTTATTATTTACAATAAATACATAGAGTCAGGAAGGGCCTGGAAAGGTCTGCCTATGTCACATACTCCTTGTGTGACCAGGACCAAGTCACTTAATATCTCAGTTCCCCAGTCAAGGCTCTTAAGACTATAAGTTATGTGGGGCAGCTAGGTGGCTCAATGGATAGAGCACTGGCTCTGGAGTCAGGAAGACCCGAGTTCAAATCCAACTTCAGACACACTACCTGTATGACCTTGGCCAAGTTACTTAACTCTGATTGTCGCAAAAAATAAAAAAAACCCCTAAACTGTAAGTTATATACTTGCAGGTCTGGATGAAAAAAAAAAATTATAATATTTGGGCTTGAGTCCCAGGTCTGCCATTGGTAGCTTTGTGACCTTGGAAAAGTTCAACTCTCTGAACCTCAGTTTCCTCATCTGTAAAATAAGGATAATAATAACTTCACTACCTCACTGAGTTATTGAAAGGAAGTATTTAGTCAGGGCACTGGAATTTGCAAGACCAAATTTATGTAGCAGTAAGAATTAAGGCTAAATATTAAGAAGCTCTGATACAAGAAGTCATAGGAGCCTAGAAAGATTAAAATATTCATCAGAGGAGGAGTTAAAACCTCCTTCTCAAGAGACTTAAGGAAAGAACAAATGAGCTATTTTTCTAGGCTAGGCAAAAGGACTATGGAGGCAGAGACACAGATTAGGAAAGCACTGCATTTGGAGTTGGAGACTTCACTACCTGTGTGATCTTAATAAAATAAATAATCTTCTATTTAACTTCTGTGGACCTTAGTTTTCTCATCTGTTAAAATGAAGGCGTGTTGGATGACCAGATGATTGCTGAGATCCTTTCCAGCTCTAAATTTCTTGTTCTTTGAATTCCAGAATCTTACCTCTCCATATTCTCTCCCCAGATAAAGGTATTACTCCACAATAGCTTCATTTATCACCTCTCTACTGATGACTTCTAATTCTATTACTCCAGTCTCAGTCTCCAGTTCCCTGCTAGACCTTTCACCTTAATGTCTCATCCTTAGTTCAATATGGACAGAATGAAACTCATCACCTTTGCTTGTCCTCACTTCTCTATTTCAGTTGATGACACCACCTTATGGTTTCATGGTGTGTTGTAGTGACACTGTCTCAAAAAATTCAGAGTCAGACCATCTCTAATCCAAGTACAGGTTTTTACCAAGGATTGACGTCCGTCAGAAGCAGGCTAAGTTCCAAGAGGAACCAGCAACTTAGTAAGACAACACAGGCACATTTATAGTGTAATGATGCTGATTACATAAGATAAATTATGAATATTAGAAAGGCAGGAGGGGGTTGTTAAGGGATTAGTAATAGGGGAGGGGTCCCAGCCTTAGTGGAACTACGCAGGTGATTAGCCACAATGCATACAAAAAAATCCATTTGGGGGAGTATATATGTATGATAATGATATTATAATAAGCCTTTCTTTATCATAAGTTCACCTAAAGGATAGCTTTTGCTATTATTTTGAAGGTGCCTACTTAGGAAAAGTCCCTTCTAGTGTTTTGGGGTCTACATCCTGCTTGGGCATCCTGGTGGTGCTGCTTTCTGATTGGCTGACTATTGTGGTCCTGTCTGAGACTAGGTGGATGTGGTTGTGGTTGAGTACATGGACACATCTGCTGTTTCTGTGGGAAATATGAGGAATGGGTCTGGGGTCAGTAGCTAGCTAGAGGCAGTGACTGGGATCCCATCACATGGACACACCTGTTGTTCTAGTGAGCAGTCAGGCATATATGAAGAACTTAGGGCATTGAGTGGAGGGGCACAGTGGCTAGGTCGGGAGAAGTGTCTGTATTGAGTCTGGGGGCCGGTAGTGTGGTTAAAGCCAGATGTGTGGTTAAATCAGGACATGCCTAATGTTCAGTGGGACCCATAAGGAAATTAGAATATTGGGGCTGGGGGCAGCTTTATTAGGATTCCATCAACACCATCCTATTAATAGGCATTTATTAAGCATCTACTACGTCAGTCAACAAGCATTTATTAAGCACTCACAATGTGCTAAGTACTGAGGATAAAAAGAAAGAAACTCAATTATCTCATAGTCTAGTAGGTCTGACAACATGCAAACAATCCTGGAGATAATCTCAAAGGGAAGGCCCTAAGATGATGGATTAGGATAGGCTTCCTGTAGAAGGTAGGACTTGAGCTGATACTTGAACGAAGCCAGTTACCCAAGCTCCTGAAGTGGTGTTTGATTCCTTCATCTCCATATGCAATCAGTTGGATTCTTTGCCTATAATATATCTTCCATGCATGCAGGCTTTCTTCCTCTCCCAGCCACTATTCTCCTTCAGGTCTCTGCCACCCCCATGCTAATAGCTTCCTTACTAATCCCAGGGCTCCACTCTCTCATTTCTTTGCTCCACCCTCCACACATCTTCAAAAATAGACTTCCTGAGGAGGTCACCATCACTCCTATCATTCCAATTGTTACTCAAGAGCTTTAAGCAGTTCCCTTTATCCTATAGGGGGCAAGTAGGTGTCGAGATGATAGACTACCAGGCATGGAGTGAAGAAGACATCTTCTTGAGTTCAAATCTGACTTCAGACACTTACCAGCTATGTGACCCTGGACAAGTCACTTAACCTTGTTTGCCTTAGTTTCCTCATCTGTAAAATTGACTGGAGAAGGAAATGGCAAATCACTTCTGTATCTTTGCCAAGAAAATCCCAAATGGGGTCACAAAGACTTGTATATGGCTAAAAAATGACCAGACAACAACAAATTTCCTATGGGACAGA